TAGGCTCCATCTCCTAAAGTTCCATAAATTCCACAGACAGTGATCTCAAGTGGGAAACAAGTATTTAAATAAATGAAACCTTTCTCATTGAAACTACCATAGTTGTCTACTGGAACTAGATAATGTTATTGGTAAAGACATTAGAACATAGAAAAATCAAGCTGAAGCTGAGTCAGAAGCTCCCTCTGCTTTATTTGGGATGATGATCGAGAAGAGTCATCCATGATCAGTACTCACTGGTAGACTTCTGATGGTACAGTACTAACCCACTGGAGGAAAAGTGCCAATACTGGTGCAATAGTACCACTGGTGCAACGGTGGTATGGCCATTAGCGGATAATGAAGCATTTGTCTTTGCATTTGAGGCCCATTCTAGGAGAGGAAATTCACACCTAATACACTAAATCCAATATTAAAAAACAAACAAACAAACAAACAACCTCATAGCCAGGGAGATCATCCTTGGGGAGGTGGGGCTTACTGCTTTACCACATGGACATGATATGAAACTGTCTTCTGAATATTTGTTTTATACCCATAGAATGGTTTCAGTGTTAGACAGAGAAGCTTCTTTTTGTGGTTAATGTAGAAACTCATACCTGATTGAAGTACTGAAAATAAAAAATTCCAGTTCCTTAAACAGGCCATCTATATTATCTGTCTATAGACATCCAAAACTCAGGAAATGTATCCAAAAAGAGAGAAGACTGTAAAAGCTAGAGCATAGGGAAGAATGCTATGTGCTAGTGAGTTTTATGTCAACTTGACATAAGTCATTTGGGAAGAGACACTCTCAATTAAGAAAAAGCTTCCATAAGATTTGCCTGTAGACAAATTTGTAGGACATTTTATTAATCAGTGATGTGAGAGGACCCAGCCTAATAGGGGATGGTGCCACCCCTGGACATGAGGTCTTGGATCATATAAGAAAGAAGAGTAAGGAAGCCAGTGATCACATCAGCTCCTGCCTCCAGGTTCCTGTCTTGAGTTTCCTCATTGACTACAAGCTGTATGATGAAACAAACCCTTTCCTTCCAAAATTGCTTTTGGTCAGTGTTTTTATCACAGCAATAGCATCAAACCCTAAGACAACTGTAAAATGCTGTCTTCTGGACATGACATAGAGATTATTCTCAAGAACACACAGCAGCTGGAATTGGACAAATTTAAGCCTAGTAACAGTCCAGCATAGATGAAGGAGGGGGTCATAAGGACCCACCCCTAGATGAGAAGCTGTGGGCAGTTCATGACTGGTAGGGAAAAGGACTAGTTTTTCTTAAGTGGTGTAGCCACAGGTAAGTTACCCATACTCCAGTAAATAATCCCCAACCTGTACTCATGAAACAACTTTACTTAGATTCAGCAAGTTATTTAAACAAACAAAATAAACACACATATGGCACATGCTATAATCTATTACTTGGGATAGAAGTAGATCAAGAGTTCAAGGTTATCCTCAGCTATACAACAAGTTCAAGGCCAGCCTAGGCTACATTAGATCCTGTTGTCCACATCAGAATCACAGCTCTCATCTTTTTGGTTTTTCAAGACAAGGTTTCTCTGGATGTCCTGGAACTTACTCTGTTGATCAGACTGGCCTCAGACTCAGAGATCTGCTTGCCTTTGTCTCCTAGGAGCTGGGATTTATAGTTTCATGGAACAGAGAAAGTCATAAATCAAGGCAAGTTTAAAATACATTGGTGAATACACCAGAGAGGTGGTTACAATGAGATGGGGTAGAGGAGAAAGGTCCAAGATGCTATCTCATGACACTCATAGCTCTTAGGATGTGAAAACTATATTAATAGCTTCTAAGAGCCACTTATTCTTTTTAACATAATGTATTCATTCAGTTTAGCAAGGAATGACTTTCCAGAAGCTAAAAGGAGCCCAAGCTAAAGTAATTAGCTTCTGAACCTGCAAAATCCCAGTCTCTCCACAGCACTGACATTCCAATCAGAATCTGCAGCTTCTTTTCAGGTTTTCTGTTCACACTGTTACAAAGCAACCAGAATTGGAAGTGAAGAAGCAAAATTGACATGGTGAAATGATTCCATCATTACAAACAAGTAAAATTAGTGAGGGTGATAGGTCACAGAAGTTCAACACGCAGTTGAACTGGTTTTTTTTTTGTATACAATATCTAAGAAACAAAATTATCATTTAATACAGCAAGTAAATCCATAGACATTCCAGCAGTTGACCCAATGTAACTTGTGCAAAAATGTTTTAGAAAAAAATATTTTTAAGCATTGATATCAAATACGCCCACCAAAGAAAGATTTGTATACCATACCATTCACTGAACCCCGCCCTGTGCTATGTGGGTCACTTTAATCCTTGTCACAGCTCTCTGTATTAGCTTTTGTTATTTCCATGTTAAAATGAGTAAATTCAAGCTCATATAGGTAAGTAATTTTTGTAAAGTCCTAAATCTGACAGTATGGTGCTTTGCTAGAAAGCCATTTAGGTTCCATTCAGTATTTCTGGTGGCTCAAGAAAAGCAACTGGATCATGGAATTTTTCTATAGAGACCTGCACGTGCATTGATTTGTTTAGAGATAGTGTTTCCCTAAGCAGGAAGCACCAACAAGTACTATAAGCTAGCTGACTTGAGCCAGCATGTCCCTGAGCAACAGCACTGTGTGTAGAACAGTGGGAGAGCATATCCAGTCAGAATGAACCAAGGGAAAAGAACCGTACTCGTACTCAGGGTAGTAATTCAAAGCAGGAATCTGGAGGCAAAGGCTGTGGAGCAACACTGCTTCCTAGCTTGTGCCTTCTGACTTCTCTGCTTGCTTTCTTATTAGATTTAGGACCACCTCTAGGGCAAAATAACAAACAAAAGTTAGTCTCCAGGTCCCTTGGCTACTTGAGATACAAGCAGTAGTCAGGCAAACCAGGAAACAGTCAATCAGTTACCCACCTCTCCCTTACTGGTACAACCAAAAAAAAGAGAACTTTATATTGAGTTCCATAGAGATTTCTGTCCTAACTTTTTAAACAGTAATGTTTGGTAGGCCTTATTACCATCATCAGCAGAATGTCACTTTGACTCTATTTGACTATATTTCTTGAGAAGCCGAAGGCCTCTCTGGTCATGGACCTCCCTCCACCCTCATCACCATGGCCCTGCTTAGCTCTTTAAAGGAAATAGAGAGAAGAACCAGATGCGGAGGTAGCTGTGAAGTGAAGAGACATGTAAATGGCTTGTGACAGAAAGAGAATGTCAGTTCAATATAAAAGTGTATGCTTTCATTCTTGCTCTCACACAGGATGCTAAAAACAACAGAAAGTAGGGACAGAGAGAGCATGATTGGATTTTAAATGAAAAACTAGATCTAAAATCCAGATCTGTATATCCATTTCAACAGGCCAAAGTGTCTGAGAGCACAGAGGATCAACAGCTTCATGAATGATTTCCAACATGTTTCTTTCTACTTCTCCCTTTCCAGGAATTGTTAATCCTGAGATTCACAAGAGAAAAACCAGTTCCATAATTTTGAGGCAAATTTGAAGCAAGCTTTAATTAAATAGTGACCAGGATGGACTACGCTCAGGTCCACTCTCTGGAATTTCAGCAAGTCGTTTTATAGAGGCTTTTTAAGGCCCAAACAAAAGGGCTACACTATTTCCTAAGTGGCCTTGTTATTTACCAAGAATTACAATTCCCAGTATTCTAGGAGACTATCGTGGATAGGTGGGGCCGATAGGTTGACTTTGGCTCTCACAGAATCTGCAAGAAGAGAGCTCCTGAATTCAGAAAGTACTTAAGAAGAAAAGGTAGCCTCATGTACACATCTACAATATTAATACTTAAAATTATATATGTATGCACATACTATCTGAGGCCAGTGAAGTGGCTCAGGGGGTAAAAGGCCTTGCTGCATAAGCTTAATGGCCTGAGTTCAATTCCCAGAATCCATATAAAGGTGGAAGGAGAGAAACAATTCCACCAAGTTTCCCTCTGACCTGGATCCACACGCATACTGTAGTACATGTGTGTGAGACTTTGTGGCAAGATGATTGGCACTGACCTGAGTATAGTCAGTGACTGATGTGTACTGTATCAGAGAGGGCTCCAGGAGACCTGTTTTAGAACTGGACAGCAGCTTAAGGAAGCATTGGTAACTGCAGAGGTTTGATGTAGAGTTTGGGGAAACGACATAGAAAACTAATTTAAAACAAAATAGGTTGAAGATATAGCTCAGTAGCAAGAGATTGCAGGTACAAGGTGCTAGGTTCAATTCCCACCACTATAAAAAATAAAATTTAATAGAAAACACAGTTTTATTATATAAAACACTGTCATTTCCTTAGCAGTAAGTTTTTACATTTATTTTTAGCAAATAGATCATAGTATTTTTTTCTATTTGTAATTTCCTGTTTGATTTATAAATTCAAAAGTATGTTATAGTTTCCAAAAGCAGTTGAGCATTGTGGCTCACACCTGTAATCCAAGTCTTGGGAGGTAAATCTTAAATTCAATCCAGCATATACTCTGTGGGGACAGGAATATATACATTATATTATTATATAATAAATATACCTTCCAAAGCTAGACATCATAGTATACACCTATAATTCTAATACTTTGAGTACTGGAGGCAGGAAGATCAGGATTTCATTAACTACACAGTGAATTTGAGACCAAAATGGGCATAGGTAAGACCCTCACTCAGAAGAACTGGCAAGATAGGTCAGTAGGTAAAGGTCCTTGCCTACACAAGCCTAGTGACCTGTGGTCAACCCTGGAATAGCAACCCGTGTGAAGGTGCAAAAGAGAGCTGACCTCACAAAGTTGTCCTTTGACCTACATACTTGGACCATTGCTGCTACACAGACACACACACATACACACACAAACACAAACACACACACATAGCATCTTAAATCCAACTTCATTTCCCCTTATGCGTCATTATGAAGGTGACTACAGTGGAGTTTTAGGGTCCTCTTGATTCTTCTTACTTAGAAAATAAATATGCTGCTCTTTACAGGTCCTGCCTGCTAGTGCAGGATGCCTGTGGGATGTTCGGGGAAGTATACTTGGACAGCACCTTCTGGAAGAACAGACCATTAGAAGGCAGGGTCTGCAGCATGTCAGGAATGAAGGTTCTACAGAAGGCTACAAGAGCAAGGTGAGAACATGCTGGAAGGCCATCCACCTAGAATAACGGCAAATAAAAAAGCAAACTTTTCATGCTTTTATCTCTAATTTTTATTTTTAAGACTGTAAGCCAGAACTGCCACATGCTTGGACTATAAAGTAAGACTGGCTTTCAGTGACCACACAGTGTCCCTAGAGAAACATAATTGACAATCAAAATAATTAAGCACCTTTCTGATTGATATTATATTGAAATAAAGAGAAAATGGATTAAATCAGTATGTCTTTTAGATACGTATATGCTAAGTAAACTATCTCTAGTAAAAAATTTAATTGTTGTTAACATTTGTGTTTGTTCTACAGATATCTAAGTGCTTGGTTTTTTTTAAGTCTCTTCATTTCAGGGACTCGTTTTAGAAATTAATACATTTTGATGATAATATTATTTTTGCTTCTTTGCATACTATTTCAAGTTAAGATAGCTTAAGGATAGCAAAGTTTGCAGATATAACTGTTCAGTTTTAGTTTTACTTATTGTGTAAGCAGAGACCTAGTAAAGAATGAAAGCCTGCTGTCACTCCAGCTCTTCCCACTAGGCCTACCTCAACAATTAGCCAGGACTTTCAGCATTGGAACTAGATCATTTAAGTCACAATAAAGGGAAATAGGGGGGAAATGTTGTATGTGTGTTTTACTTCTTGACCTTATAAGTAAATAGTTGTTTTCTGTAGTTTTCTAAACTATGTGATTAAAAAAAAAATCTGTATAATGGCATGTATATGAAAGTCTAACTTAATGAGAAGACATTTTATAAGATGTGAACAAAACATTTTTTATTTTGTTTTGTTTTTTTCCTTTGAGACATGGTCTCACTACATGCTCCTGGCTGACTTAGAACTCTGTATAAAGAACAAGCTGGCCAGAAACTTACAGAGATCTACCTGCCTTTGCTTCCTGAATGCTGAAATAAGCAAAACTGTTGATGTTGTCAAGTATTAATGCTTTTTCTGAGTATGATGGTATAGCTCTGTAATCCCAGCGCTTGTTAGGTAAAAATAGGAAGATCAGAAAATCAAAGCCATTATCGGTTACTGACAGTTTGAAGCCAGCCTGGGCTACATAAGATCCTGTCTCAAAAAATATCAAAAATTCTTAGTGCTATCATACGGGAACTTGTTCTCTGCTAAGTGCTGTGGTGAACTGTTTGGATGGTAGGAGATAGAATGGTGCATAGACCTGACCAAACAATGGTTCTTGCTTCACCAGTAATCATTTTAAACTGTAAATTAGAAGAAATAAGGGACACAGTTTTTGTTTAAGTATTTTAATTTACTTTTTGACAGTTACAGACAGTTATGAACTGCCATATGGGTGCTAAGAATCAAACCCCAGTTCTCTGCAAAAGTAACAAGTGCTCTTAACTACTGAGCCAACTCTCCAACCCTGAATGCATTCTCTTAATTAAGGCTCCCTCTTCACATATGACTTTAGCCTGTCAAGTTGACATAAAACTGTCCAGCACAGTTGGCTACCTTTTTAAGATTTGTACCACTGTTTCACCAACGGCCATATCTAGAAAGAAACATTTTTAATAAAAGTATCCTATGATATAATTAAATACCATAATCAATAAATTTGGGGATCTCAAATGCATTGTTACCTTTCTTTAATTCACATGTTAAACCTTCATATTTATATTTATAAGTATAGTAACACGTGAGCTTCTAGTATTGTTGGTAAGCCTGTTACAAGCCTGTAACATTCTGAATCATTTGTTGATAACATCTTCTCTGCTTTGGGATGACCACCCAGTGTGGCCATTCTAAATCATTCATAAGCATTTCTTCTGACTGGCCTAATCTCTGTCCTGTCAAACTTTCTGTAACACCTTTCAGATGAGCGACAGCTCTGTCTGAGAGTTTATGTACCTGGAAGAAGTATATTCCATAAACAGATCTTCTGTAGGATAAACTCAGAGCAGATATAAGAACATTCTGTCTGTTGTATGTATATGTCTTAATGACAAATGTGTCCTAACATTATATGGTTTAGGGATAGAAGTGAAGATTTGCTCAGGTGTTTGGAAAACATATGTAGATATAAGACAAGCTCAGTTGGGCATATGACCCCCTCCTTTCTAAAGCTGACCCTCACTTCAGTGCTCACTAGAATATTTCTTGTAAACACTTTCCAACTCAGAAGACTCTGAAGACTGAGTGGGTAGGGTCAAATATCTACAGTTAAGACTCTCCTCTCTTACCAGCAGGATGCTCTGGTAAGAATGCTCCATGACTCTAGATTCACACTTGAGCTGCTCATTAGCCCCATGTGGCCCAGAGAGCTGCTCAGGCTAGAGACTGTGGGAATACATTGTGGAAATTCTGATGCAGATAGGCATAGCCAGGCCTGGGACCAGGGATCTGTACATATGTGGAATTGATGTTCTTCCAGCATCATGCTGTGCATGTACTTAATATTTAATCTAGTTCTTATGTGTTACTCTTGGAGCCTCATCACCATCTTTAGCCTTTCAAAGGAATAAGAAGTGCCCCCGTGATCCAGATAATTCGTCTGCAGGTTAACTTCCCAAGGCCTCACATGTGCTTAGGGAGTTCTCTCTACCTCTGTGCCACTTTATCAAAAATGTTTGAATACTTTTCCATATTTAACTTGCTGGCAAAATATTTGACACTCTTAGGAGTTAGGACTCGTTTCTTTATTTTATGCATTTCACTTCACTTCAGCATACAGCCATCCAAATAAATAATTTGGAGTATCTTTTTGTTCTTTTGGAAGCTGTATTTCTTCAAAACAAATTACTAAATACTTTTGGAATGTTGGATGTTATAATTGCCTATTAATGACATCATCCACTGTTGGTAACCCACCCATAGCCCAGAAAACAAGGTAGTGCATCTTTTTATGCCATTTACTGTTTATGAGCAACTCTCCTCTACTTTAACAAAATACACTGTTTGTCAACCTTAACAAAATGTGATTACTTCTAAAAATGTAGGTCAGAATAATCTTGTGTTCAATAATGATATATAGAAAAATATTTTGGGAGCTTTTTGTTGTTTTAGGGGATTTCTTTTTTTGTTTGGTGTTTTTTGGGTTTTGTTTTTTGTTTTTGTTTTTTTGTTTTTTTTTCTTTTTTCAGTTAGAAGATACTTGTGTGGTTAAGCTAAGACATACTGTCTTTCAGGTCTGCTCTAGCAGATTTCACATGAAAACAGTTTTAGTGACAGAATACCAGTTATCGCTCATTGCCACAGGCACATCCCAGCTGCTCCATTTCCGTAAGGAGCACTCAGTGGCTACTGCCTCAGTCCAGAGGCTTGCAGAAAGACTACCCAGCATACTTTTCTGACTTTTATATTTTTAAGTGTCTATAATCACTGGTAAGAGTAAAATTAGTCTGATAACCTCCATTTAAGTTTAGAAAATTGTACAGTTTCAAAGCCATCCATGTGAGGTGTGCTTACTTACCCCTGTCTTTGCTGCTTTTGCACAATGCTTGCTACTCTTGGTCTAGGGACCTTCTCCAAAGCTCAGCCTCTGACTTTTATTCTCCTGAGTGACCTGTGCATCAGTTTAGCAAGCCAAAACAAACAGAGCTCACATTACTTTGATGCTTTATTCTATATATGAACTTGATTTCATTATCGTTGATGTTAAATTGAAGAAAATGTTAAGGAAAAGGGGAGATCTGGAATTCATTAACTACAGAAGTGATAGGCAGTAAATTATTTCACTTAGCAGGGGATTGGAGGAACTTATTGCAGTTCACAGTCCTCTAAATATTTGAGCCAGGCATGTTGGGACCTATAAGAGACAGAGGAAGGTGATTACTGCAAAATTGAGGTCATCCTCACATACTGAGCTTCAAGCCAGCCAGAGATAGAAAGCAAGATCCTGCCTCAAAACAAACTAAAATTCTATGAGTTCTTTTATTTGTACTTATTATTTCCCAACTTGTTAAAACAAAGACCAATAAACTTTTCATTTAAAATAAATTATTGACTTACAGATACCATTTTATGTAGACCTCTTTAAGAGCATTTACTTAATTATATAGAGCTTTGCCTCTGCATAATTTTGACTCAAAGACTGACAAAGGAAGCAACTGATCCTATCTTCAACCTTGAATTGCATCCCTTTGAGTAGAAAACAGGATAGGCAAAGAACCGGAGCAACTGATGAGTCAAGTGACTAGGTAGGTCCTAGCTGCTTCTCTCAGAGCTTTCATGAAAAAAGGTAAAAATGAGGACCACAACCAAAGCTGCTGGCCTGAGTTCAGCGGTGAAAGAAGAGAACTGACTCCCAAGTGTTGTTCTCTGTCCCCCAGACATATGCTATAGTGCACTCATAAACATACACCTAGCAAATAAATAAATAAATATAATAAAAACTCTTAAATGAAAATACTTTATTCATCTTGATAAATCACAAAGAAAAAAAAATTCACATTGGTAATAGTGTTTTATAATTGGTAATAGTAATTTTTGTGACAACCCAAAAATAAAATTAAGAGATATAGACTAAAGGAAATATAAGAGGGTTTGCTGAAAACATAATTCAGGACAATCACTGGATTCACAAAATCCACATAAAGGTATTAAGTAGTCATGACCTCTATATACACAACATAACATGGGCACATGTATGTGTTTGCCTACATGCACACAGTAATGACATTTTAAAATAACAAAAGATAATTAATTTGTTTATCTAATACATATTATTTAATATATATTAGTGCTGTGGCCCTGGCTAGTTGCTGAGCAATTTGCTATGCCAGATATAGGGTATTTATTCCAAACTTTATATTAACTTATAAAGTCAGCTAAATATTAAGGTCTGTGTCCTAATATTTATATTTATATGAGATGGGTATCTGTATGTTTGCTTGTTGCATTGATTTTTATTGACTGTTTGATATTTTGAGACAGGGTTTCATGTAACCCAGGCTCTGGCCTGGAACTTACTATATAAGAGAGGATGACCTTGAATTCCTGACCATCCTATTTT